TGCCGCTTTTACAAAGGTGTCATTTCAGATAAATTATTATTATTAATCAGGTGTAGGCACCCATATTCCCCGACAAGGGGCCCAAGTTCCCCAGTGGCTGGTCCAAGTTACCCAACATAATTGTCTTCTTCCCCGTCAGGGTGTCCAGGGCTCAACAGGATTCATTAACTAAAATATAGAGCCTACTGTTAGAATTTATTATCATAGTAACTTTGATATAAGCCCAACTCCCTGGAACATAATATTTTTTGGGATGGGCTTATACCCTGGGAATCAAATGGCAATTTTTCAGCACTGTATGCCTAATTCAAAGCTAATGTTTTATGTTTTTTTCTGAGATTATTTGAAACAGTCATCACCTAGACTTACCCAGGAAAAGGCTGGTACAGTAATGGGGTTTACTCCTGAGGTGGCCTTATTTTTGAGGTGGGCTTATACCTGAGGTGAGCTTATTTCTGTTGTGGACTTATTCCTGAGGTGGGCTTATTTCTGATATGCGCTTATTCTTGAGGTGGGTTTATTCTTGAGGTGGGCATTCTTGAAGTGGGCTTATTCATGAGGTGGGCTTATTCTTGAGGTGGGTTTATTCTTGAGGTAGGCTTATTCTTGAGGTGGATTTATTCTTGCGGTGGACTTATTCCTGAGGTGGGCTTATTTCTGAGGTGGGCTTATTTCTGTCGTGGGCTTATTCCTAAGGTGGGCTTATTTCTGAGGTGGGCTTATTTTTTAGGTGGGCTTATTTCTGAAGTGGGCTTATTCCTGAGGTGGGCTTATTTCTGTCGCGAGCTTATTCCTGAGGTGGGCTTATTTCTGAGATGGGCTTATACCTGATGTGGGCTTATTCCTGAGGTGGGCTTTTTCTTGAGGTGGGCTTTTTCTTGAGGTACGCTTATTTCTGAGGTAAGCTTACCCAAGGAACTATGGTAATTTTAAAATAGAGAGAAAAAAATATTGCATTCATTCATCAAATTGCATCTTGTATAGATTGTAACCTTCCAATATACTCAATTTGAAAACATTTTATTGCTATGTTCACCCATGGCAGCTAAGGTCAGCAGGATCTGGATCCTGCTAACTGTTAGCTGCCTTGCGTTCATACAAGACAATCCCCGATCCAGATACCAAGAAGATGATTATCGATCACTGGCCAATAATAAACTGGAAATTGGAAACCTGTACGTGTGATTGGTTGATGATAGAAAGCGCACAACTTGCTAACCGATAGCGCTCGCTAACCGTTAGCGTATCTTATCATGGTGACGGTTAGCGCTAACCGATCAAGCGTTCACACACAGGTTAGCTCTTGATCCAGATACTAGGGCTCTCATGTGAACCTGACCTAAATTAAGATCTGTGGACTGGCACTCAATGCCATTGTGGCATGCTCAAGAGAACTCGTAAAAAGTTACCATGATAAAAAGTAGCATTAAAAAAATATGATGCATCATACATCAAATCTCAGTCTCAATAATTATATTTTAAAAAGTTTTTATCCATCACAAAAATTTGTAAAAATTGCAAACATTTTTTTTTAGTACAAAAGAGGATTGACAGTTGAAAGTAATGTTTCGGCAGTTGAAGGTCATGTTTACGTGCAGTTATAATCAGAGAATTATGGTTGATTTGTTGTGATGCTGTTATCGGTAGAGTTTCTTTTTTAAAGTAAAATTGGCAGAAATAGGATCCTTGTTCAATATATCATTCTTGCCAAATAGTTTAATAGTTAGAAACTTGTTTTTGAAACATTTGGATTCAGTGTGAATGAATCGAAAAGTGATTAAATTTCACTGGGAAGAAATTTCATGACATGTGAATTGTCTTCACAAAATGAGTCTCTTTGTACAAAACATAAAAAATGAGTTATTGGTAGTTAGATCACATCACAAGCCCTATTTTTGTCTTTGAATTAAATTCTTAGGTTGAGTAGAACCGAAGTTGAAATGTATAAAAACATGCTTGCGTAATTCTGTTTTGTTTGTTTCTTTTGTTCATAGGAATAGGGTAGTGTAGATGCCATCATCGTCTGAGCATCTGTGAGTCATGATTTTTCAAACCACTGCTTGTCAGTGGTCTTAAAGGGAACTTAGAAAGATGATATTTGAGGCATGTCGTGGTGAAGTTGTCACACTGGCCAGTATTGAGTAAATAAATTTTAAAATATGGAAGCTAAAAAAAATTCCTAAATATCCAAATTTGTTTTTAATCATGTCTCAAAGTATCAGTTCTGGAAATGGTCAACAAATTAATTGTTTATTTAACATTATTTTTATAGTTAATTCTATTAAACAAGATAGTCATCATGTAGGGATTGAATATTTCGACATTAGTTTAAATGTCATCATCAGGATGATGGTGTGCATTTCGATACTTGGAGTATGTATTATACTATCTTATCTGAGATTAATCAGTGGACCTTTTGGTTTTCTGTTAAACAATGTATGCACAAATAATTTTGAAAGGCAATTACTCAAAATCATGTTAATCTTTACTCTAGGAGTGCTGTACTTTCATTTCCAATAACTTAGGCTTGAAATGTAAATTTTCGATGAATACCCCTCATTATAAAGATTATATGCTTAGGTATCTGAAAATACCAATAACTTAAGAATGTCAATTTTTGCTACAACATGCCTCAATTTATTCTAGAGGGGATTTTTGATATGTTAGTAATAGAATCAACTTTAAAATCGTACTTTGGCAATTTTTTATGAAGTTGTAGGCCATTACAATTTACCCCTTAAGCAGCATGACGTCGGTGTAAGCTACTGCTGTAACTGAAAAACGTGTAGCGCTGTACACGTCGCTATGCACTGTATTATACAATATTTGCTTTACAGGAGCGTAAACTAACGTCATGCTGCAAAATGGCAAAATCGTAATGGCCTATAACTTCATGAAAAATTGCCAAAAAAACGATTTTAAAGTTGATTCTATTACTAGCAAGATATCAAAAGATGGTTCCTCTGCACATAGAGACCATGTATTATTGGCTCTACAAATTTTCGACCATTACTTTGGAGAAATCTGCCTCAAAACAGTTTGTAAATCAACATAGGTATTCTATGTACAAGCTATGTGTACATTAACTATTTAAAAACTTTGAAACGTTATAAAGAAAAGCAAAATTAGTATACATATCATTGTGAATATATATCAAATTCACCTGTGTACAACAGTACAATATGATGATTCTACTTTAGTGAAGCTATTATATAAATGGACATATTAGGCCATTAGGTTTTTAGGGTGTCATTATCATCATCATCATCTTCCTCCGGTGCTCTGCATACTATTAATAAATGAAATCAAAATGGCGCTTCCCAATGTTGTCTGTTGTGTCGTACCGGTTTCAATTTTCTTTTAAAGTGGTGGAAATATTTAATTGAAGCTCGCATAAATGGTATGCATTTCCTGGTAACAACAAATGCTATATTTTATCAGTGACTTTATGTGTGCCTATTGCAGTCTGTATCTTTTTTATGGCATTATTTATTGTGATGTAGGCTGTTGCAACTATATTTCCTAAAGTTGAACATACCAATGACATTATATGACACCTTTTCTGCTCTGATACACACTTCTGATAGAGGTCCATGCTCTGTAAGTAGAATGGAAGTTGGCCATGTGATCGAAATCTGCTTGGTGCCAAAATTTCTGATTTATGAGCCTAGTATGTTGTGAACATCGGTCATAAATATATTGCCTAGGTCAGCAATTAAGAACCATAGGGAGCAAGTACCAGAAAGAGAATCATGCCTTCTTGCATTTGCTCGTTGTAATGAAGTTTTATCATATGTCAGTAATTTTGGAGTGATACACTGCAGTTTTTGTTGTCGAATATTAATGGAGTTGATAGTGAATGCAGCCTACTTTCATCGTTTTACGAGAAATATTAACGTATTAATGCTGTAATCGTTGCAAACTGGAACTTTCGCGGTAATCACAACCGTTTGCGTGAAGAAGATACAAGTTGCATTGATACTGATTTCATTTGAAGTTTTATTTTTCATTCGTTTCAGAAGAAAACAAAAGTTAAGTATTGCAGCTTTCCTGAATTTGATCTTAACATGTTGGATGCTGGTAAATTGATGGGCTGTCAGAGAGAAGCAATATGTAAATTTATCCAAGATTTCATCAAGATTAAATTATCGTTTATGTAATCCTAAATGGAGTGTACATGCAACAGCATATTAAAGGGCATGACAGCTAATTACAACACCATCGTTTAGATGTTTTTTAGTACCTATACTATCCATCCATATTCTATTACATTATTATATTATTATTATTATACTAATTCTGTTCTGTCCATCCAGCTTTGAGTTGTTAGTAAATGACGGAACAAGTTGGCGCTGGGCAGTACATAGTAGAGCAATCCATCATGATAAAAACTGGTTCCTGCTAAAACAGCGGCAGCTGAGCATCGAACACGCTGTAGCATCTCGTAGTCAACAAAGAAAGTGTACACCCAGAAATTAATCGAACTCCAAAGTAATTGTTTTCTGTCTACCAGCATCTGGAATTGATGAATGGGTGCAGTAATATAATAATAAACTATAGGTGAATCCAAATATAGCTTTGTGATTTTTGAAGACTTGAAAAAAATTTGGAAATGCTTGTCATAGGCTAAACTTTTGAATCAAGTGTTGTGCCAAGGTGTCAGTGTGTACATAGAACAAGGTTCGTTTGTTTTTCTGTGATACCATGAAGGAAAGGAACAGATAATCCTTTGTAATTCCATGAACAGATTGAAGGGCGTGTACACTAAATGGATATTTTGGGCCTTTTAGTATATATATATATATATATATATAATTATATTGCTTCGGAATTGTAGACTTCATTTAGATAGTCCCATCAAATATTTTACCTTTGCTGTCGACTGGTGGCCAGAGTTGTAGATTGATTTCACAAGTTTGCAAAAGCCTAAACTGAGATATGTATGTGATGTCATACTGCATGTCTATGGGCTACACTTTGGAAAGTCTCTAATGTGGTAGTGTAATTATTTTCATGGAATAGTCTCACATGAGATCTATCAATATGCAGAGACTTTTTTATGCCTTGTGTTTTCATTGATGCACGTATTGGATAGTAGTAGTAGTATACATTCTTTATGCTCACTTCATTTTTATAATGACCTTTAATTTTGCAAATCGATATTTTGGTTGAAACTTTGCTTCTCATAATGTCAGTTGTTTTTAACTTTGACATTAGAAATACTTTTTCCATCGCTAAGAAAGAAATTGTAAAAAGTAGAGAATTGAAATTAATCGATGATGTGCTTTTCACTGGTGATACTGACGATGATAATGTCATGGATTAAAAGCGATTCTTCTTCAAGTACATTGGACGTGATTTATCAATGTCAAACCGTCAGGTTTGTTATCGCTTAAAACATACGATAGAGAAAAACAAGTCACTTTATGTTCTGCTGAACATTGATGGAACATAGAGCAGAGGCTTGTTGAAATTTACTTGGTTTGGCTATAACTCTTGCAAAACTGGCAAAACTTGATGGAATGTGTTTATACAACTTTACAGTGTTTTTCATGGATCCAGTTCTTAAAATCGCAATTTAGCACCAGCTTGGTACGCCATGGAATGCCGAACTTGAAAGGATTTCAATCATCTTTGTATTTACCCTTCTCCCAGCATTATGTTCTTGTCGAAAACATATCACTGCTAATAATCTCTAGGTGTAATGAATTGTGATTGATGCAATTTTTTTTTTTTCTTTTTACTTTTCAACCTTATGAGAAACCTCTTTCTTTGTAATGAAGATCAGTGCAACAAGATTTGTTGTTGTTACACTTCCTTTGTGCAGTGGCTACATGAATGTATGTCGCGTCATGGGAAACGATGACATTTTGAACACCATTTTCATGCGCTATTACCTGTATTGAACATTTATAGCATAAACTAGATTGCACAGCTGTTAAAAGGAAAAACTTGGTTTACAATGGAGTCATCTATAACTACTGTGGAGTCTGTTCTCACAGTGAAAACAACAAAATGTTGTCGGTTTAGGTAAGTGCCACTTAGTGTAAAAAATCTGTGCTAAACTCTTCCTTTTTTGATAATTTTCAAAATACATTTCTCATTGCAAGTGTAGTTGAATCAACTTCATCATAATCTAGAGTGTATCATAATATTATTTGAAAAGCAACCTTTTTTTTAAAAAATTTATTTTTTTGAAATTAGGTTGTACTTTCAAAACATAATATCGATTTTCAAATGATCCAGTTTCTGGCAGTTAAAATTATAAACAAAGTCAGAAGCTACAAAATGATTTGCAATGAAAAAAAAAAAACAAAATAGAGTAGGTGGTTCGGTATATTAAACACTTTTTGTGTGGGCGAGACAAGTGCAGTTGGTTGTCGTTGTGTCATTACAATCATGTTGAAATGCTGCATTGCACCAATAAAATTGCTAGATAATCAGGATGATTATATTTGCACTAAAAATAGTTATGGATGTGGGCTCCGAATTATGATACAAGACTTAAGACTTTTTGTCTTTCTTGAGTTCCTTGGAATATCACTATCATTATGTATATTTTTTAATTTTCTTGTTCTTGTTTTTTATGTGATTTGAGATTTTCCAAAATAAATGCATTCATTCTTTCAAACTCATGAGCAAAGATTTTCTGAAGAAGACCTCATAAAAAAAAAACATCTAGCTAGAGTAGTTGAGATAAAATCACCACCTACCTTGCAGGAACATGATACCTGTATAATCTATGCATATATATTATGTTCGATGAAAAGCAATAAGGCATTTAGATTTTTTTTTTTTTTTTTAATTACTGTACGCTCTAAATCGACAGTAGCGCTATACAGTTATATCACTCGCGTTTATTAGGCTACATAAAATTAATTGCTAGTCTCACGTCTCCACCTCAAAATTTACTGTTTGCAAAAAATACAATAATTTTCCCTGGAAAATAAAAATAATTATGATCTGAAAAATTGTTGTCAACGCCAAAGAAAAGTTTGAAACATAAATGGCAGAAAACATTACAACGAACAAAAAATAATGTGTAAATTTACCAGCAGGTTTGCCACTAGTATAATATATATACTGCATACATAGATAGGCATCTGATTGGTTGAAATGTGAAGCCCCATAAAAAAAATTATTAGTTTATCACCCTATCAAAGAATAAAAACTGATGAGGGAGGGAGGGTTTTTTTTTTTTTTTTTGCTAACCCCGCCCCCATTTCACCGATGCTGTCTCTTAAATCAATGGTTAGAGACACATATATAAAAAGTCATAAGAATGGAATCAAATTTATATTTAAAAAATATGTTTTTGTTGTACCAGTAAACATATTTGCAAGAAATCCTAAGCTTTTCAAGTGAAAAAAAGACAGAAAAGGGACCGTTTTAAATAAAAATATATGGTGATTGGAAAAAAAAAAAAATCAAATTTTCCCCAAAAGTGATGAGGGAGTGGGTGATAAACTAATAAATTCTTTTATGGGGCCTGAGTACTAACTTCAACCACCACTCTTATGACGTTACGGTTTGAATGATAGTTCATAAATTCCTGAGAAAAAAGTACTATTACGTAAAATTATAGTAATTTTTTTCGCTTTTTGAGATGTATTCTCAAGGCCACTATTTTATGATACGCATAGATGGTACGGGGATGTGACCTCTACGACGCTGATAGAGATTGACCCTTTGAACTCCTAGGCCTTGGTGGGACTCTTTTCATTACTGTTTTTGGCCTTTTAGAATCTATGTATGAGGTATATAAAACAAATTTTGACTGCTCTATATTCGGGAAATGGTGGAATCTATAACCCCTCGGTAATGTGGAAACCGTAGCCTATTATCTACCCTTGGGTGTTTGGCCCTCGGAAAGACAGTAAGCTACGGTCTTTACATCACCTCGGGGCAATAGATTTCACTATTCCCCTCATGAGCAGTCAATATTTTGTATAATAAAATTGGAAATAGTACCCTCACCAAAAAAATTATTATTTTTATTTGAACTTAATAATAATAAGCAATTATCCTTTAACTAAAAGTGAGATAAATGAGAATTTTCATTTTGGATCTGGATTTTATAGTAATTTCATTGCATCAACAAATAAACTGAGAAAATGGGAATTTGGCACTGTAAAGCAGTAAAATAGCAATACAGTAGATATTTCTCAGTGGATGACGTATGTTAAGTTAAACCTTATTTCCCAAAATTCATTTCGGTAGCTCTGACCATTTTTTAGTATGTTTTAAGCTTTATCATTCTTAACAGAGTATGTAAAAATCATTTCACTATTAAATTATGCATTCATGTTTGGAAAATTTCACAAACATAAGCAAAGCTATGAAGATGTTGGGTAATCAGGTTTAAGTTCATGGTTCGTACGCCAAAAAGTAATAATAATAATGAAACACGTTTTAACCTCAGAAACACTTAATAACCTTATTGGTGCTTTATATCTGATCAACGCTGTGAAAAAATCAGTGCGCATAAACTTAGCATATTATAAAATTGCAATGTGAAAATCTGGTTCTACATTTTCACATTATTTGCTATTTATTCGCATTCTAACTTTATATATTTAAAATATTCTATATTTTATTTGAATCAAAATAAAAACATTTGATGCATGAAATTGTGTTCTCGTTTCCATTCAAATGAGTTGCATTAAAGTGAATCAAAGTAAACCTTGACTTCTTTGACACTCATTAAATCATTAAAACCTACAATGCACATATGTCAAAAGGTGATGATCCTCTATTGTCTCTGGTAATGGTCCTTAGCTGGTCTATGCATGCAAATATCCTTGTGTCATCGATTCTAAAAGTGCATAGAAGCTTGTATAGTGTGACAAAGGAGGGGATTATTAGCAAATGATTGTACAATATATACAACATAAGGATAGATCCAATTTAGCATTGATTTAAAATTATTATTATTATTATTATTGTTCTATTATTATTAATCATTTGAATAGGTGAGATTTTTGTACTCTTTCGTCTATATATTTGATATACTGTATTTTAATTTTATATATTTTACCAGCCTGTTAGTGGCGATGATTCGCTGTTGGTCTGATGAAATGAAATAAATAAATAAATATGTGCATTGAACCCTGATATTGGAAGGAAATCTCATCTGCAGGGGCTGATCTTGAGGGCGGGTCAGCGGTGTCGTTTATTTGTGTCATCTAAACAAAGATGTGCCTTTTTTTTCTGGACTCCACATCCTGCAAATGTCGGAATCCGCCCCAGTACAAAATCCAAGTCCTATTAATGATGGGTATCCCTATGGTAATATACAACTTCTTTAGGAATGTGCAACAAGCATTGTGTTGACTTTTGGCCCATAATACTTAATTGTAAACTATAAAGTATTTGCTAAATTGAATTGTACACATTGTCGGTTTTGTCTACTAGCACTTGATCAAGTAAACAAGTGATATATTGATAAACTAAACTCTACTAAAATAGCCATCGTGTTTGAGTTATGTCGTGTGTAGAAGTGCCTATATAGTTCAATGAAAGAAATATAAAATAATGATTAAATGTGACCCAAGATCATAAAAGGGCTGTAAACTCGCACCACGCTGTATTGAGAAACAAGCCTCAATATCTGTAATAGGCAGTAGAACGTAAATTTCGTGTGAATTGAGTATTTGTGTAGTAATTAAATTATAACAAATAATCTTACTATTCTGGAAGTTTATTTAAAATGACCAAAAGAATTTTACTGTGTTTTTTAATTAGTTTATCAAGGTTTTTTTTTTTAGTAAAAAAAAATTTTGAAATTTGACCTTAGCTTCAATTTGTTCTTTTGTTCTTATTTTTTAAGCAATTTCTTATTATAAAATATGTTCTTATTTAAAAAAAAAGTGTGGTATAGTGCATAGTCTACAAATCATATAATAATCAGCGTAATTTATGTTTCTTAGTGAACTTTTTTTTTTAGCTTAATATAATATGATCCTTTTGATAGGATCAGCTTGTTTACAGCTCAAGTTCATTTGTGTAAACATAATGTACGTTTTAAATGAACTTGCTCAGGCACTTATGCTAATATAGTAAAAGCGTAGGAGGAAAGGAAATGTTGCTATGCATCATCAAAGTTGGTGGCAGTATTTTTTTACTGAAGAATTGTTGACCAACAACAAAATGAAAAGCATATGATGATGATAAGAAAATATAGTCTACTGCCCTCTATAATTTCTTTGAAAATTTATTCCAGAAATGGTGAAGTATTTTCCTCTTAGATTGAATTGAATTGTAGATGAAATTATTTTTTAATTAATATTACATATAAAAACACCTATAAAAAGTTACTGTGAAAGTAAATTAAGTTCAAGCATGGTTCAATAATATCACATTTCTCTAAAAAATAATTTCTCCAACTTAGCAACCTTGTAATGGAAGCTGTGCAATTAGGAAATTAAACTTTGTGAATTTCAGTATTTGGGAGGGGGCACTTAGTCATTTTGGGAGGGAAATAATTGATTTTAATGTAGATTTGGATTTTTAACATTATATTGAAGACATTATTTCCAATCCTAAAATCTGGGGTGTCCCAGCGCGATCGTACAATTGTCTAAGCAATCAACTGGAGTTTTCTGATTTCATTATTAAAAGGCTCCCAAGGCAGAACCTTCATTAAAAAAAAATCAAGGACCTCTATGGCCTCTCCTCAGAATTGTTTAACATCGGTAACATTATTTGAAGAGGGTGGGGGGTGGAGTGGTTAAGAAAAAAGAGTGTTTTTTCACCAGGTAGACAATGGTTATCTTCTTTTTCGGAATTACCACCGAAATGTCAGTATAAAAATAACAAAAAAAAAATATGTTTCCCTTGAAATTCATGTAAATTCAATTAATAAACATTGTTTTATCAAAGAAATATGGTTTAGCTTTAAAGTTTAATGCAAAATTTGATAAAATTTGATTATGGACATCATCTGTTTTAGTTCCCTGGTAAATGAAGGAGTGCTATTTTTTTGCTCTCCTTAGATCGTTTCAACAAGCACAATGGACCACCGGAGCGAT